TCTATCATATATCTATCTATCTATCTATCTATGTATCTATCATCTATCTATCATATATCTATCTATCTATCTATCTATGTATCTATCATCTATCTGTCGCTCATCTATCTCTCATTTCTCTATCTCTCATCTATCTATATCTCTCATCTATCTCTCTATCTCTCATCTATCTATCGCTCACTCATCTATCTCTCTTTCTATCTCTCTCTCTCTCTGTCTATCTATCTGTCTCTAATCTATCCATCATCAGTCTCTCTCTCTCTTTATCTATCTCTCTCTCTATCATCTCTCTCTCTATATATATCTATTTATCTATCTTTCTATCTATCGCTCACTCATCTCTCTCTCTCTATCTCTCTCTCTGTCTATCTTTCTATCTAAGACAAGTGAAGACAGTGTTTGTGTTGCAGGACTCAGACTCCAGCTCACATCATGGCTGACGACCCTCAGAGAAACTTCCGCTCTGCTTATTATGAGAAGGTCGGCTTCAGAGGAGTGGAGGAGAAGAAGTCTCTGGAGATCCTGCTGAAGGATAATCCTCTGGGTCAGTATCTCTTCACCTTCACTAACACCCAGGAGAACCATCGGTGTGAAACCTGCTTCAGCTGCTGGTGAAACCATGTTAACGTGTGATGTCTCCACAGATCTGGAGAAGCTGAGCACCTTCAGTCAGAGGTTCCCCCTCCCCTCCATGTACAGGGTCCATGTGTGGAAGGTGCTGCTGGGTAAGAAACACACACCGTCACCAGCCCTGCTCCAGTAACCAAGAAGAGATCTACTGTAGATTATAAACAAAGCGTTTTTCTTTAATGGAGTCAGACCGATTCTTCAAGAATGAACAATGTAGAAAAGATTTATTCAACTTATTCAAGTTCTATACATTTGATTTCACTATTTTAGTTATTTATAATTAAGTGAATGTATAAACTAAAACATTTCAAACCTCAATTACATTGCTTTGTCATGAGGGTTTGATGATGTCATTTTAGGAAATATTGTTATTTTTCTATAAATATTTCAGCCTATATATCAGTATCACAATTTGTTTAAGTATCTAATATAGATATTGGTGAATCCTCATCCTTCGGCCTCTCTTCTGTGATATTTATTGAAATGTTTCAGTTACGTTCAGTAAGAAAAACAGTCACATTATTAAACTGCAGGTATTTTGAGAGGACGTGACCGTGGAGCTGTCTTCCTCTGTTTACTACTCAAATATCAAAATAGAACAACTTGTCAAACAAAACAAAATTATTAACTATATAATATAATATAAATTTGAGTATAAGAAGTATAAAGTAAAGTTATTCATTAAAATGTAAGTAAACAAAGGTGGAGGTAAAATGGGTGTTGAGCGCTTAAATAGCAAACAATCATTAAAGTAAATCAAAAATCAAATTTTATTTAATGAAAACTCCTCTTGACCAGTGTCCTCCCCCCCACAGGCATCCTGCCACCACACAGTGACTCTCACTCTCTGGTGGGAGGCTACAGGAAGGAGCAGTACCAGGACATCCTGGAGGCTCTGGAGGTCATGAGGTACATCAACTCCTCCACACCCTTCACCCACGTCTACCTGCGCATGTTCCAGCTGGAGGGCCAGGTGCTCCAGCGGTCCTCTGAGACCACCCCCCCGGTACGAACATACCAATCTCATTGTTCTGTACGAGCGGCTGACAGCCGAGTTCCTGCTCGTTCCCTTCGTTCTGCGATGCTGCGGCGTGGTGTCTGACTTTGTGTTGTTTTTATTTTAATTACCAGGATGAAGAAAACGAGGACTTCCTCTCCATCAGCAGAGCCATGGAGGAGATCGTGGATGATCCGGTCGACTGCTACTGGCTCATCAAGTGTTTCATCAACCAGTTCCACACAAAGTTTGGAGACTCGATACCTCATCTCGTAAGAACTCGAGACATTATCCGTAAACAAGACTTGGAAATTATGATTAGGGTTGAAAAAGAATTCTTACCACAAGGTCGACTAACTGGACGTCACATCTTGTGACCTTCATCAGTGGAATCTGCTTCAAAAAGACAAATTTATTTCCAGTAAATCAGATCAGAAATACTTAATTGATCCCAGGGGGAAATCGTGTCCGTTAAATAAACCTCATGCTAAGAGTTCTGCATCAAACACAAAATATAAAAGATGATATAAACATGGTGTTGCTGCTTCCCACAGAGATTTTATTGTTTAGCAGCTTCTCAACTGGATGTTGTCAAGTAGTTTAAACTTCACAACAGTAGTGTTAGTGTTCACTAAATACAACAGTGTCTATTTGTATATTTGTGACATGAATCAAAGTGTTGGCAAGTCAAGTTTTCAGGAAGTTTAAATTTATACAGAAGTATTATATTTATATTCATATGGATACGAAGCGTATGACGAAGTCTGGTGTAAATTTAGATCGTACAATACCGGAAATGATGCGACTAAATTCTCTTGACTCATGACGCACGTCATCATGAATTAAGACTTTGTTGTTTCCCTCTCTTGTGTCTGGTCTGTTGTGGTGTAGCCGAAAAGCCTGGAGCATTATCTGAGTCAGGAGGAGCCTCGGCTGCTGACCCATCTGAAGAACACCGGAGCCCTGGCCCAGCTGCCGTACAGCCTCTGGTTCAGACGCTGCTTCGCCGGATGCCTGCCTGAATCCAGCCTGCAGAGGTCAGACAATCTTCTCGCCCATGAGCTTTTATTTATCTGGATCCCGCAGAATTAGATTATAATATTCATATTTATTTTTACATTAGTGCATAATCATTTAAAACTCGTGAATCTCTGTGATCAATCACCTGTAATCATTTTGTTTCCAGAGCAGAACTCGAAAAAACCTTCATAATTCTGTTAATTGAATCAGTTCCACGTTCTTGTTTTATTTCAGCGTGAACATGAAAGTCTCATTAGTGAGAACTACGTCTCAAGGGGATTTTACAAACTATACATGAAGCAGTGCATGAGAAGTAGCTTTAAATGAATGTTCACATTATTAAGACCTACTTACATGTATTTAAGACCTAGTAAGTAATATTTTGACATATTTAACACTTTTTAAAGTCTAACATTGAGATAATTAGAACTTTTAAGACCTTGTTCACAGCCCTGTTGTTACATCCTCAACTGAGCTTCCTTAAATTGGTCAAAGTCATCCAACCCTTTATTTTTGTCTCTCTCAGAGTTTGGGACAAGGTGATCAGCGGCTCCTGTAAGATTCTTGTGTTCGTTGCTCTGGAGATTCTGCTGAGCTACAAGATCATGTTGATGGGCATCAACCGGCCGGAGGCTGCAGTCAAGTTCTTGTGCAATGTGAGTAAATAAGATGTGTTTTTTTAGTAGTAACGGTAGGTACATGTACTTCTTGTAAAACCTCTCTCTGTAACATTGTCCTTCCAGATACCGCAGGAAAACACAGACGCCATCGTGACTAAAGCCATCGACTTGTGGCATAAATACTGCGGCACCCTGGTGCACGCTGTGTAGCCACACGGAACCAGAGGTGAGATGCTTTCCCAGCATTCAGCAGGACTTCCTCTTAAACTCCACAAAGAGAGTGACAGACTGTGGCGTTTACTGTCCGTGGGGATTTGTCTCCGCTCGACTGAACTGAAAACTCATCACGGGCTGTTGTTGATAAGCCGGGCGACTCTGGAACCGCTTTACAGATGCAACAGTCAATTTCCAGCTTTCCCCCAAAGACTATGAGAAACTGTACGAGGAAGGTTTGGACACATCAACACTGAAGAGGACGTTGAAGGAGATCACTGAAGCATGAGTGGAAGTGAGTTTGTAAAAAGACAAAAGAAGCATAAACTTATTAATTTTTAATAAGTTTCTTTCTTTAAGAAACTGCATACATCATAGAAGACTCACAATAAATTAATACCCACATGCAGTTTTTCTGCTTTACAAAAAACATCTGAAAAGTCTTGTTTACTTTCTTTATGTACAACACGTCTTATAGTTCTGAGATATTTCTCACACTCACTCACACACTTCTCTGAATAACATGGTCAAAAAACAATTCATGGACCCGTTACGAACTGTGAATGATAAAAAAACAGAAAGTAAGGTGGCAGGGTGTCATCATTTTGTACGCACAATAAAATACAAGATAAAAAGTGTCCTGGTTGCCGTGACGACCACTGCCTTTGTTATTCAGCGGAGAGTTTTACTGCGTCTACAGATAATATTCTGCGTCAAATGGAAACGAGTGAATTTGGCAATTTGGAAATCCCCGTAGACGCGACTGTAGGCACAGTGACGCAGACGGTTACTGAACTCTCGACCGCAGTCACTCCGGGATGCTTTCAAGGTCACGACTCCTGCAGCTAGTCAGGTTGCTTTGGTCTAAATTTGGCGTCTGGAGCTCCTGAATGCAGCCCATCAACAGACGGACGAAGCAGGGAATCTGAAATTATTGCTGAGTGGGAATGAATCTGGAGATTTTAAGTTTTATTCTGTTAAAGACTTTGAAGAAGTCATTTTCAGACGTTTTGGCTTAAGCTCCAGCTGCTGCTCATGTTTTATTCTCTTGGCAAAATGAGATTTAGGATAAGTGAGATCGTCTGTGGGATAAAACTGGAGAGTGAGCACATGGTGAAATGCAAGAAAACAATCCCAGTGTTAAAAAAAAAGTCCCAGCTTCACCTGCGTCTGTTCACATCCTTGAAATTGGCACAGATTCTGTTTGACTTCCAGAAGTTTGCTGCAAAGTAAACGTATCTCCTCCTCTTCATCATAAAAAATGACAATTAAAAGCTTTTGAATATCAAGAAGTCTGTAAAATCTCCACCGAGAGGAGACGTCAGCCAAAAGTCAAATTCTTCTGGAAGTTTGTTTTTGTTTGTTTGCTTGCTTCCATTTCCTGCGACGGCTCAAACTCCCGTTGAGTTGAGTCCTGTCCGTCAGTTTGACTCTGTGGCCGGTGAAGGTAGCAGGTAGCAGTACGAGGGCAGCGAGTAGCAGTCTGAGTTAAAAAAAAAAACATGGCTGAGGTTCGACTGGGCCGGTTTAAGGTCGATGAAACCTGCAGGAAGAAAAAAACGTAACAAACAGAAAGATTTAGAAACAGTTTTAAAATCTGTCTCGTGGGCTGAAATATCTTCAACAAACAATTGATGGATTGGCAAAATATTAACTTCGACTCACAGCGAAGAACACTAACTTAAAACTAACTCAACTTGTAGCACTAATGCTAAAGTTAGCGTACAGTGAAAATAAAGATGGACGACGTGTCCCCACTTCCTCCTGTTGAATAAAAATGAAGCTAAAACGTCTCAGATATGGGAATCGACACCTTGTGCTTTTCAATATCGCAGATGATGCACACACTCAACCAATCAGAAGTCAGCCTCAGCTGTCAGCCCTACCTTATTTATTTAACATGGAGGAGGCGGGGTTTCTGATCTATCCTAAAGCCAGCCACCAGGGGGCGATAGAGACACTTTGGCTTCACTTTTGGGAGCTGTCATGTCGTCCATCTTTATTTATCAGTCGTGTAATGAGCTCTACAGCCTCTGGGGGCAGTGTCGTGCCTGAATGTTGCTCTCCTGTGTCACATGGTCTCACCTCGTCAGATGTCTGCTCGACTCGTGCACCTCCATCTCTGTGCTTTTGAACTCGTTTAACTCTTTTCTGATGGCAGCCTGAAAAACACACAAACAGACATTTACATCCAGTATAAAAGTGTGTGTGTGTGTGTGTGTGCGTGTGTGTGTGTGTGTAACAGACAACTTCAGATTGAATGTGACCTTATCAGCAGCTGTTAGCCGCGTCCACGGCTTGTCTGCTCTCCGGTCGTAGTCCTGAGCCTCGGCGACCTCCACGTAGTCGCTGAAGCGAATGAGGATCTTTGCTTCTCTCAGCTCCTCGACTGTCGGCCTCTGGCTGAGCTGCGGGGGGGGGAAGAGAGGAGGGGTTAACATTAAAAATGCTGATTTCCCACCAAATGCTATTCATGTTTTATTGTTTTAAAATGTCCTCAGAGACAAAACTGTAGAAAAATGTCTGAAATAAAAATTCCAAAACAATTATATTCAAGAAATCGTCATTTCCACTGATCTGTCTTCTCTGTCTCACCTTTCTGGACAAGTGTCTCTTGATCTCTCTCTTCTCCTCCTGCTCCTCCAGATCATTTCGAGCTGAAGACAATGACAGAAAAACAAAAACAATCACAAATACAATATCACAAATCATTTTTTTTATCGGTTTGAAATATGACTTACGTTTGAGAATGTTTCTCTGCTCCAGCTCCTCAGCTGTCGGCCTTTGACTCAACCGCCTGAAATAAAGGAAAACACAAATATGATTTCAGGAAACATATATATATAATAAAGTCTTTGCAGAAAGCAGTGATTTTTGCTCTTGAACAGCTGCCTCTGTGACTCGGTGCCTGTGAAACCTCGGCCCGCGTGATGTTAATCCGGCCGCTCACCTGGTCAGTTTTGTGGCCGTCTGTTGCCGGGACTCGAACCGCTCCTGGTCCGACTGCAGCGGCAGGATGTTTTTCTCCTCCAGCTCCCTCTTGGACGGACGGTTACTCAGCTTGATGGCCAGCGAGTCCTTTCGTAACACCTTCATGGCCAGTGTGCCTGCAGCGACCGCACCAGAAGACAAACGTTAATATAAGTCATCACGTGAAGCTTTTGTAGATTTTCCTTTTGTCTGTTCATATTTTAATTTGTTTTTATCTCAGGGTTTTTAAAGCAACCGGGCAGATCCATGTATTCATCAGTTTGGACGATAGATGAGATGAGATAAAACTTTATTGATCCACACACCAGAGAAATTCACTAGATAATCAAACTAAAGGTTTTTAAAGTAAAATTACAAGTGTTTCCTGTTCTCAATGTACCAACAACTTCCTGGATCAATTTGAAACTGAATAACTTTTAAAAATACTTTTCTGAGTTATGAAGTTATCAGTTCTCTTTTTTTTCTTTCTCTTTCTCTGAAATCTCTTATTTTCGGGAAAAATGTATAAAATGACTGGAAAGTGAAAGTCGTCACTGAATCTTCAGCCTCTTGAGGCTCATTATTTTGCAGCGTTTCCTGTTTGCTTGTATCAAACCTGCTCTGATAAACCCCCTGAACACGACCTGCTCAGCACCAAACACACCGTGAGAGAGCAGCTGCTGAACGCTGTGGAGCATTTAGCAGCTGAAGAGCCACATGGTTTTCCTGAGGGGTCGACGGAGGAAAAACCAGAGGGAAAAGAAACTGAGTGTTGGTTTTAGACCACAGATAAACGCCTTGTGTAGATAACGACCAGATACTTAGTGAGTGTCATTTTTTATAAAGAGTATTCCACTAGAGGGCGCACCACTGAACTCTGATTTATCCTGTCTGAATTAAGCTCAACCTGCTTTTTATATTTAATCTTATTTTCCTCATTTTGGTTTATCATGAAGGTTTTATCTCACGTTTTGATGTGAAGCACTCAGTGTTGTTATTATTATTGAGAAATAGAAAAACATGGCGACACATAAAAATGACACACACATGCACACACTTCATAAATATGTGGTGAGAAACACCTCAAGTATAAAACACCTCAGGGAAAGAACGACACCTACTTGTAAACAGTGTGTCATCCTCGTCTTCGTCGTCATCTTCCTCGTCCTCCTCCTCTTCATCATCTTCCTCTTCCTCATCCTCGTCCTTGTACATCCCCGGCATGTCCTCGTAGTCTGCCTCGCTTGGGAGGTTCTCTTTGTCGTTGTCGCACTCGATCATCACCGTGGGAACAGCGTGCATCATGGAGCTGCAGATCGGTGGGAAAGGTCAGAGGTCAGAGGTGGGAGCTCATTGTGGCGTGAGCCGGGCAGTGACGTTGTGATATCGGTGTGATGGAGTGAAAAGTGTCAGTGTGCAGAATGTCAGAGTCAGAGCTGCGTTGAGATTATAGAATGGTTTGTGAAAATAAACTGTTAAAAAGAATCACATCAGCTTTTCCATGAACAGCAACTGAGAGCAAAGCTTGTGGAAAATTAGACCTCGGATCAGTGAGAGAAACATTTCGTCTTCTACGTCCTCAGATAAACTTCAACAAAAGGGTCAAAGTGCAAGTCAACATCTGCAACACATCATTTTAATAATGTGATTTATTTTATTTAATCATATCGGACTGAAACTGACAAACTAACACACGACGGTTGCTGATCTCCAACATGGCAGCAACATTCACAGAACCACTTCCTGTTTGTGCCTTCAAAGTAAAAACAACGTTCGTTTAGTTGATGTGATAATTTTATATCAATTACTTACAGAGATTTTTTTAATTTGAAAAGTTGTGAACTTGGGTCTGAAGATTGTGTCGGTTGTTTAACAGACTGAAATAATCGACATGTTGAAATAATGTATGAAATAACATCAGGTCAGTAAATCCCTCAAACTTTAATAGAAACCACACGTGATCAATAACACTTATGCAAAACATTGACTATGAAATCTTCAGTGCAGATAAACCAGGTAGGATGACCACAAAGTTTTGTAACTTCACTCTGCATCATAGTCTGTTTATAAAAAGCACACAAACAATAAAAAGTAAACTGAGCAGAACAGTGTGATGTGATCCTCACCTCTCAAACCTCTGCATGGTGAGCGCCAGCGTCTTGTTGAGCTCCTCGATGATTCGACTGGGCGGGTGGAGAGCGATGGGCAGCGTCCCGTACTGCAGCGAGTGCCCGCCCATTGGAGTGTGGCCGGCAGGGGCGGGGCACTTCTGGAAGGCGAGTGAGGAAGGCTCCATGCTGCCGGCGGGTACGGAGATCATGAGCTTCTTTGGAGGTAGAGGAGGAGATAACTTCCCCAACATACATGGCAACTTGACCGGGGCGCCGTCTGCACCGAGAGGGAGGAAGTGAAAGGGTCAGACGAGAGCGTGCAGAGTCGAGAAGGCGACAGTGAACGAGCACCTGTGATGAGATCACCTGTCATGTGATTGGGTAGCCTGGTGAAGGGTTTGGGTGGTAGCGCAGGAGGTTGTTTGTGTAGCGTCGGAGGTCTGGAGAGCGGTGACTCGGCGCCGTCAGCAGGATACACAGCGGACTTCTTAGTGGGTGGAGCGTGGCTGGACTTCTGGGCGTGGTCCTGTTGAAATGCACCATCATTGGTCATCTGAAAGTCCAGGGAACCTGACGAGAAAAACAACGAAGCACATCAGTCAGATGCTTCAGCTCCAGACGAGAGATGAGACGATGACGTCGACAGTCGCTGCGTCTCTGCTTCCTACCTACAGCTGCTGCTGCTCCTTCCATCTGCTCCGTACCTTCAGACTCCGACGGGCCGGAGCCGAGCACCGGGGAACGACCGTTCTCCATCTTCACCTCCTCTCGTATGGCCGGAGACATCCCTTCTGCAGGAGGAGACAGAGAAGATATCACAGTTTATATTACATAAACAGAAAATGATCCGACTGAACCCTTTTCATGTCTTCTGGGATAAATCGATTATCAATATAGATGCCAGTTCGTTTCCTGTCCATCCAACATTAATGTATTAACTACTCGTTGCAGCTTAAAAGAAAAACCTCTGTACACTTAAAAATAAAAGCACATGAATGAACATGAATCATTGAATATCTGTCTAATCGATGAATTAACCCGTCGATTCAACACGTCACATATTTAATGTCCCACGTCTTGTCGATTGATTTCTCACCTTTCTCATAAACCTCCTTCAGAACTCCTTTCTTGATCAGCTCCTCTCGGCTCTGACGTGTGGACATTTTCCTCTCCAGCACTGAGGGAGCAGAGAGGAGGTGATGGCACATAAACAAAACACAAACGCTGTTGTTAGAGTCGAGGGACGTGTCGGAGGCAGCAGATGTTTCTTATATATCGGGCTTCTGTTCTGACGACAGAGAAACAGGACGAGCAGGTCAGAATATACGACCAGAACTGAAAAACAACACCTACAGATGCTCCAGATGTTTTATTTTGAGGGTGTATTGTACAGATGTGAGCGGTGCCCACAGGACACATCGTGCAGCAGCAGCTGACAGGTCGTCAACATGAAGTGTGTTTTTACTCCTATTGTCCCAGAATTCACAGAAAAGAATATCTGAACTTTTATTTTTATATTTTATATAATATTTTTTTTTTTTTTACTGGGAGCCGTGTTAACATCGCATTCCCAATAAAACAAAGTAATTCCTTTTCATGGAATCATAGAAAATTTAAAGGACTAACTGAACAATGGCAAAAGTCTAGAGATAAAATATGGTGCACACAACACGTGCATGAGTATGTGAGAGTATGTGAAAGTATATATATGTGTACAGTGTGATATTTGGCTGCAGAGAGGGGAGGCAGCTTTCAGCAGGAAATAAATAAAAGCCCAGGGAGAGCTGTGACAGCTGGGGGAACAGCTTGGCCGTAGGAAGCCTCTCTTCACCCCTCTGCTCCGTGCCTGTGCCTCTCGCAGTGAACAGGACACGGAGCGATTCATCCAGCTGAGAAACAACAACAGCGACTGTTTCTCCATCCAAATCAAACGCTCTCTTCTGTTTCACGGCTCACGACTCGTGTGCCTGTTGTCGCTCTGAACCAGACATATGCACCAACATCCACACTGATGTCGGAGGAGCTGATTCGCTCATGGAGACACAGCGGCACAATAACAATCACCATTCAAAGCTAATTTGATTAATCGGATCTAATATTTTTTTCTGACTGCTTCCGTGTAGACGATTTAAGGACCTAAATGAAAAGATATTTTTATAAACATGCTTCACATGTGTGTTACATGAACGTGTTTTGTGTGTATGTGCAGCAACAGGGCTGATGTTCACCTGACCTGAGGCCTGATGGTGTTTTTCCCATCTTTCATAACCTTGATCGTACACAGCAGATCTGTGCTGCGGCCACTGTATCACCCCCCCCCCGCTCTGCAGCACCTCTGTGCTCCCGTTCATCAGTGCTACTGTTGCTAGGTGCAACATGGAGACATTTGTCTGCCGCTGATGACTGTGGGGGTGAGAGCAGAGGGAGTGGGCTGCTAATGGAGGAGTTGTGCTCTCACCTGCAGAGGTCTGCTTGAACTTCTCACTCTTCTTCTTCCTCCATTTCCAGGGTTTGAACAGACGTCCCAGGGTGGCAAATTTGCTCCGCCGGCGGATGGGGGGCGTGTGCGTGCCGGGTACCAGCGAATCTGAGCGCATCGCTGCCAACCTCCCGACCTCCTCAGCTGGAAAACATAATGAGGCAACATCATCATTAACAAGCAGGTAAACAACAGATGCACAAATACACCGTCAAACTTTTTCTTTCAGTCATTTATTCAACAGAAATGTAAATTTTAGATATTTCATTATAACAAAACAAAAATAGGTTATAGAATTGCAATGACTGGCAGATTATTGTTCAAATTATCCGCAGCAGGAATTACCTCTGCCACAGGTATTATGTTTTCACTCATTTGGTAGTTTTTTTTTTATTCAGCAGGATTATGCAAAAACTTCTCAACAGATTTCCATCCAGATTTTCACATCTAAAGACTTCACCTCAGACTTTGGCAAACTGAGACATATTTCTCTGATTTATGACAATTTAGAGGCCAAACGATTACACAGTTATTCATGAAAATATCCAGCAGGTTTATCGGTTTAGAAAATATCCAGCAGCAGTTGAATCCGTCACAGATCAGGAGGCTGAGATGACCTCCTCCTCCTGTAGAGACATCCCACTTCCCCCTGGTGACTCCTTATCTGTCACATGAAATCAATCCAGGTCACCGATAAATTTCACTGGTCACATACCTAATAAGGGAAGTACTTAGGAAAATCAATGCTGCCTTGAAATGATTTAATCGTTTCATATAATTCAGTTTGCTGTCACATGTGAAGGTCTTTCTAAATTTAGAGGTTATCACTTTAAAATAATACCAGCGTAAGTGAATAACTCAGGATTTACTGCATTTAAATGTTTTTGTTGCAGTGAAAGGTTTCTTAAATCCACAGTTAAGGAAAATAGATGCTCAGTAATTTATTATTCAGATTTCGAGGAACACGTTCTCCCAGAGGGGCTGTGTATAATCACGTCAGGCAACGTCTGAGGGTTAAAGCTTATTTAGATCATTGTTAATCACAGTTGGTGTCAGGAGGCTCCACCAGCAGAAACCTTACGCAAGAAGCTCCCAGAGAGAAGCTTCACTAAGGAACGATGAAGAGGAACTGAATGTGTAACAACACAAAACATCAATTTGTGTTTCAGTGAATCTATGTTAGCAAACTAAAGCTCTTTCTTTGAGTCTCTGAGCTGTAATTCCCTCGGCCCCACAGGGATTTAGAGATTAGTCACACTGGAAGTTGTTTTATACCCGGAGCATTCGAAAATTACACTTTTTCTCATTGGTGAATAAATGAAGCCTGCGCCAGCAGCAATGGATGAGGGGCATCCAAAAACAGGAAGGCAACGTTTCAGCAGGCAGGAATGGATGTAAAAATACACAAGCTGAAGATTTACACATTTACTACAGAGCAATGGAAGATTTAACGTGTAAAACAAGTGACAGATCCGTGTTGTCCACTTTCATGTGATAGAAATGTTATTTTATTAATATCCTGCATTGCACATCAACTTACTTCTACAGCAGAATAAATCCAGCAGGTCTGACTCGTCCCAAACACAGTGAACAGTGTCCACAGGACTGAACTAAATAACAACTAGAGAAACTGTTGATTAAAGAGAGCCGAGCCACAAATAAAACCTGGAAAGACGTCAGTGATGAGACGGAAAAACAAAGTGAGCAGCTGCAGGGGGAGGAGGACACGTTGCCTTGTTACCAGTTATCAGTTTAAATCTGCAACAGCTCAGCAGCTGCTATTAAGAAACCTTTTCAACAACAACATATAACAACCAACTGCTGCTGCCCTGTCCTCATCCTCAACCCAGCTGCTCCCCTCCCCGGCTGCTCCCGCGGTGGGTGATGCTGTCTGTTTAGAACCCAGGTGTGAAAGTCTGGAGTCTCACGGAAACTTTTCTCCAAATGAGAAAAATCCACAACACCAGCAAAACTAATGGGGAATAAATCACACTCTGTCGAGTAAGAATACAAGTATGGTAGAAATCTGAGGGACTGATGTGGACTTGAGTAACTGGATCTTGTTATTTCAGGGTTTTGTATCTTGAGCTTAATAAACAAGCCAAACTTTCACCGCAGGTGCGATCACTTGATCACGACTGGAACACAAAACAAGAGGTGTATTGTGTAAAACAAGTATCCAGCTTATCCTAACGTCCACTGGTTAAATGTTGGGAGCTCTTCAGGCTGAACTGTTAAAGTTGTCGTCCTGTGAACACTTTGTGTCAAACTCATATGAGGCGACCTTTGACCCCTGAAATGTAATCAACGAATTCTTGAGTCTAAATGACAACTGGTCAAAATCAAGAGGCCAGAAATATGTTTTCTTACGTCACCGTGTCCAGGATCTTTAACCTTTGACCACTCAAATCGAATCAGTGAATCCACGAGTGAACACCGACAAATATCTTCTTGTTTTGTTTACATTTAATTATTTATCAGACGCATTTATCTAGAGATCGAATCTAAACCGACAAACAAGCTGAAGCCAATGAAAACATAACGTCTTTATGTCAACGCAGAGGATGCGTCAAAGTATGTGGGCAGAGGAATCTCTATTCATGAAGGAGTCATAAGCGACCTTGAAGCTACTTCCTGACGTCTCCTCTCATCTGCAATAAAGAAAACAATGACTACAGAATCTGTGTCCGTGTCAGAATCCGGTTGATCGTGGCTTCACTGCAGATAAACCAGGTGGGTAGACGCAAAGTTTTCTAACTTCACTCTTTCATGAAGTCTGTGTACAAAAAGTATTTCTTCAGTTTGATTGTAGGACTGATTTCAAATAAAGATTTCGTATCGCTCTCACTAGCCCCTGCTCGTGCTTGGATTTGCTCAAACTGTTCGACTTCACTGCAAATAAACCAGGTAGGATGAACACAACCTTTTCTAACGTCTCTCTGCAGCACAGACGATAACAGCGTATTATAAAAGAGTTTGCGGAGCATCAAGAGGAGTCAACATTACAAGCACACACGTTTACAACGGGCACCGCACGACTTTGATCATTCTATCAAAGCAATATATCTCCAAAGTAAAAGCACAACTTCTGTTCCGATGCAGCTCTAAAATCTCAAGTGCAGATAAACCAGGTAGGATGGACACAAAGTTTCCATACACAGCTCTGGTACAGTCAGTGTGAAGGAGCATTATAGCAGCTGATCTGAGAGCTGCTCTCCCTCCTCCTCCTCTCTCAGGGAGCGGTCACTCACCGAAGACCACCACCATGTAACACCACCTCCCTCCCTCCCTCCCTCCCTCCCTCCCTCAGTGAACCGACCGTCCAGCGGCTCCGCTCCCCGGCAGTTGCTGCAGATGTGCTTGATCTCTTTCCCGATGTGACAGTGGATGATGAAGGGCACGTTGTTGTTGTTGTTGGCGGGCGGCTGACGCTCAGAGTCCCGCTGCGGCTCCTCGGGGATGTGGCGGGTCTTTGTCCTGGTCAGGAGGAAACATCTGGTCCTCTTCTGCGGAGCACGCTGCTCGGACGCGGGTTGCAGCCCACGCGGTGGGTCGGTGGTCGGCCCGGGCTCGAATCTCGACCTGGAGCGTGAACACATCACGCCGGCTCCACGACCCGCCATGTTGGGGCTGGGGGTCAGGACTGGATCCGAGGAGCAGGAGGAGGAGGTTTAAACGGATTCTGTCCACTGACAACAAGGCCGCCATTTTGAAATGTGCTTCCGGTTGCAACTCACAAAATAAAAGCATATTTGAACCATAGAAGTGCAGAAAAACAATTTGATTCGAAATATATTGTGTTTTTATTTGTTTACCACGATTCCCTATTCGTATGTATTCATACTAAATCATCAATGAATAGAGAAATGATTTTGTTTCGTCCTGATGGTAACTTATCCAGCCACGTGACACAATAAACACAGACTTACAACCAAACATAGTATAAATCATGATAAATCATTCTATGCAGGGGTTGTGCTAAACAATGCACAAGATATATATTGTGTGGGAACAATTATTCATTTGTATCACCAAATTATAACTATACGTTATTATCATCGGGATCAATACAATATCTATCTATCTATCTAAATGAGGACAACGTCATCAGGCAACTGGATCATACAATTTAAATACTTGAAAAATTAAAGTAACTGCGTGTCTGTGCATTAAAAACACACTATTTAAACTTATTTAAACTAGTTCTAGTTTATCCCACAACTAACTGAGTGGACTGCGCCTCACGATTCCTTTTTTATTTTGAAAGAGTAAATTGACTTCCGGTCCCAGTGTCCTCTGTTCATCAGTAACTTGTCGCCGCCGCAGGTTCAACCAATCATGGCTCAGTTTAGTGGGTGTGACTCATGGTGGGAACCAATCAGATTAAAGCACCGGGAGAATTAGAATTTTAAGATTTTAAATAACAGAGATGAAGAGATTAAAACTAAAATCTAAAGTTTGTGCTAACAGCCTTGTTTTCAACTTATATTTTTATTCCAATTAGTGTGTATAGGTTTACACATATTAAACATTATTTTATCTTTTAAGTTTATTATCTTTATTAAAATGTAATAGATTTACCCCAATAGATTGAAGCAATTAATTGTGCTGTCACAACAACAGCATTATTATTTTCACCATAAAAACATACTAAATGGACACTGCGTTCATCATGAACGAGTTTGTTGTATAAAATTTTCTAAAATGAAGTTATAGGCAACTTCGTTGAACAATTAATTATAATATTAAAGCAAAAAATACACACAAAACTATGTCAAATTAATAAGGGAATGGTGACTGCCATTTAATTCACTGTTTACCACCATAACTCATATTACTTAGTTTACAGCTAAGTAATATAATCAGGTGCAAGCTCATACTAATTATTAGAAGTATTTGATAGGATCTTAAAAACATTCATTCATTAATTCAACCTTTATTTCTTCTGTGGAGTATATTGACATGGGGGCCTCATTTATAACATAGTCGAGTACAGAAAATAAAATGAGACGTTCAAGAAAAATTGCCAAATAGCAAAATCAAGAGAAAAAGTAAAAACCCAAGGAAATAAATGCAGTTCAACATTTACAGGACAGGAGTAGTATGACTATATATACAGTACATGTATCCTGAGGTCTGTGTTTTGTATTCAAGGGAATACTCTGCTGGCCAAGGCAGCGATAAAACAAGACAAGAAAAGAAGCTCCAAGATTCAAAAGATCAAAAAGGGGCTGAATCTGGAAAGATGATGATACAAGGCAGAGAATAAAGGGTCACAACCTGCAGTTACAAGCCTCTTCCTGCAGGTGGGGCTCACTTACAAGAGATGTGTATGAAATGAATTCATGTGTGAGACAGTGTGAGACTGCAGGGAGCATGAGGGCTGATGAGGAGGAGTCGACTCTGATCACAAACACCTCTGGCTGTTTTCTACTTCCTGTAACAACACAGACACACAAACCTTGTGTTCACACCGTCAATCACTCCAGGCGGTTTGCTCATTTCATTTCATTCGCGTGTGTGTTGACGTTCATGTATTTTAACACTGAGATCAAAAGCACACGCTGCATTTTCCTTTTTCCTCGCTGCACACGATGACTCATTTCAAATTCTTGCAAGGTTGCGTATCAGGAGATGAAAGCGTTAGTGAACAGGCCTTATGTCTCAGTCCCGAAGTGTCAGACCTTATTATTATTCTTATTATCGCAGATCTAAATCTATATCACATTTTTTCACAAATGTATGAAAAAAGAATTTGACCACAGCTAATGACGCCACCTAGGGTTCAAACCACCTCTGACCTTGCAGGGCCAATGTAGCATCAGCGTTTGTGCCGTCCCTAAAGCTGTTTTCAGATATGACCTCCAGAGGATGTCCACAGAATTGGTCGTGGACTTTCTCTGGAGTTTTCCTTTCAAACATGAAAAACACAGCAGGAGATTTTCTACTCAAACACGTTCATAATAACACAGACACCTTCCTCCTGTGACATTAGCATTGTCTTTTGCATTTCTGCTTGTTAGAAATGACATCAACACACAGATCATGTCTGAAAACAGGACCACACAGGTTTTGTTCTCTCAAACGAGCAGGAGATAAGAGCAGTGAAGCTGATCGTATAACAATAATTCATCTTTACAATAAGTGACAGGTATGATTCACATTCAGAGGTGGCAGCACTGATAGACTATAAATAACACAGTTCACAGTATTTTTCACAGAGTTTTGTCACTTCGGAAATATCTGTAACCAAGTGACCCTGAAATTTGTTGCAGTAAATTTCGGCTCCCTGAGGACGAAGCCTGACACTTAAGTGAACCTCTAACATTTTATGTTAATTAAGCCTTTTCTTAATTTCTAAATTGAAATTTTAACATTAATAGAGACATCAAATAAACTGACTGGGCCTCCTGCCTCCCTCTGCACTAAAATATTTGTTATCTTGTCTTTTTCTGTGCATTTTTTTAAAACTGCAAATAGACAAAAATGCATGTGGAGATGCACACACACACATACACACACGCACACACACGTACAAGAGAGCGTGTGCAGCAGCTACAGAGCACAGGTGTTGTTGTCACCTCTGAGATGGCAGTGGTATATTAGTTGTACGGCTGTCAGATTATTTACTGTCTGTGAGACACTGAGCTCTTTACACCTGTCTCACCAGAAACTGTCCTGTCCGACAGCATCTGGTGGCAGCGGCAGGTTTTCCCTGTGAGCTGCTCACAATACGGCTGTCAGTCGAACCTCACGCAGCCCGGAGAGTTTCTTATGTGTATAAATCCTATAATCCTTTTAACACTGTTGCTATGTAAAATAAAATCCTACTAAAAAGCCCTTTAAGCTGAAAAGTAAATGTTATTGTGCTCCTCATCAACAGCCTCCTCAGAAAAGACAAAACTGTGCACGTCTCAGTCAGTTCATCTTTAAAACTCGTCTGTTTTCTCAGCTCCTCCCCTCAATGTTTCACATTTAACATTTTTACACTAAAACTGTTTTCATCTCATTAATCTGCACATTTTCTCTTTTCTCTTCTTCCTTGTGAAACACTAACTCCTGGTTTGTAGAGTCCGATTCAGGCCTGCTTTCATTTTCAATGTGAAAATAAGTAAGATAAATTAAACTGGTTATTGATTAGGGCCCAGCGATCTGAGTGTGTGTGTGTGTGTGTGTGTGTGTGTGTGTGTGTGTGTGTGTCTACAGCTCTGCACTAGCTGCCAAAGGAAAATGCCCTGATCAATGAAAGCCCTGCTGCTGACGCCCGGGCCGACGCTGGCCCACAGTTAACGGGTCAAACTTGTTTTTAAACGATGTTGTTGAGCTAAATGCTGCAGACCTGAACTAACCGACAGAGTTTTTACTGCACAGTCTCTTAAAAAGGTCAAAACATAAAAACTGTGCAGTTGTTAACCACAGTGAGGTGTTGCTGCAGATGTAAAAAAGAATTAACGACATTGATTCTTGGAAAGATCCACCGCTGTTGAGTTTTTCTAAATGAAGCTTTGTGCACAACAGATAAAATCCAATTCACCTCCATCGTTCTGATAAATGAAGTTTCATTAGAGGGAATCTGACAGTGAGAAAACATAAACTAAAGTCTCTTTACACGTAAGGAAAACCATCAGAAGTGATAAAATGTGCTGCTTTGGTTAATTGTTATTAATGGAGCCACTCGTGGTCGTTACTGTCTTTATAATTTATCTCCGCCGACCCCCTCGTCTATTTCGGATGACCATCACACATCAGCCTCTTATCCCATCTGGCCTCCTGTCTCCGTCAGGTGAGAAAATATTAATCATCCTCTAGACTTTGATGACGCTGCTGCTAATTTGGGCCTGAACTGAGGCTACGACGCTGACAGAGATTTAGTGTGAAAATGAACGAGCCGCTCTGCAGCTGAGACAGAGAGATGGAGTCCTGCCGTTTGGAGTCTGAAACAAGACTCCTCCAGGCACCAAATCTCAATCACTCTGCTGCATATGCGTCCATTCTCACACCGGTTCATCTGTCCACCCTCTGCAGCTCTGATTAAGATGCTGACCAGCTCCGGGAGAAGTTCACTGAAGACGCTAAACATGCAGTGGTTTGTAGGTAATTAGCTGCACAGTTGGAAAATCCGCTAATTCTCTGCTCGATGCTAATTCCTTTGACTTCAAGTGGATGAATCATAAGAAAAGTTGACAATACTACGAAATAAAACCTTCGCCAAGGCGCGACAGTCCATATCGTTTTTGTCCACTAGTGGTCTTTCAATAAAAATGATAACAAAAGACCTGGGTTGCATTCAAAAAGTCAATTTTGCTTAGGAACCTTCATAACTGAGTGAAATGACGTAGTTCAACTGCCGCCATAAAAGGAGCTGTCTCTCTAAAGGATGAGGAAAGGAGCTTCAATGCTTCTGCTCAAAGCAACACAACCTCGTCATGGCACCTGAACACACCCACGTAATTATAAAAAAAAAAAGAAAATGAATCGTCCTGTTAATGTGAATAAAACTGTGGCTCCTGTTAAAGATGTGACACTTTAAAAATAAGCTCACAAATATAAAGTTTCATTAAAAAAAATAAAGCTCTGTGATAGAAAAGTGGACTTTGTAGAACAAACATTACTCGGACAAGAGAAAACTGTGCATTTGCAACTATTTTTAGCCGTGAAATAATCCACATTTGATGTTCTTGTATTT